AGTCGGAATTTGCTTGATTGCATCAAAAAGTGGAAGATTGACTTCACTTGCCTAAACACATCCATAATTTCATTTGTTTTGGCCTTTTGCTTGTCATTTGAAATGGATCCTTTTAAGGCATCCGGAAATGGAGCTTTTGGTTCAAAAACTTTTTCAGAATTTTTCCTTGAAGTCTCTTCAACACATTTGAAATCATTTTGCAAATTTTTTTTTTCAAAATCACTTTTCAACACTTTCTCATTTAAATGATCATGTATATGCAATGAAGGAGGAATAAAATGTGAAAAGGGACGGGTGTCAACTTTGGGTTGCACTAGTTCACTTTCTTCATTGGACACACCTACTTGGATGTCAATGATTCTCTCACTTCTCAAGGTTGTCATCGCATTGACATGCTCTATTATAGGACTTTCTGATGAGGAATGAGTCTCGACAACACATTGTTACTTTGGTGGGGCATTCAAAGGCATTTTCCCTTTCTCTCTAGCATTTAAAGTACTAGCTATTTGCCCTACTTGGGTTTCTAGCTTAGCAATGGATTGAGAATGAGAATGAAGTAATTGAGTGTTCGCCTTTAGAGTGCCTAGAGTGGTCAAAACTTTCTCTTCAAAAGCGGGACTCTTAGAATTTCCTTGAGAATATGATGGTTGATTAGGAAAATGAGAATTAGAAAATTGATTTCTTTGTGATTGATATGGTCTATATCCTTGTGATCCTTGGAGTTGCATCGGAGATGGAACATACTTTCCTTGAAAACTACCTTGGGAAGGGTTTGAGCCTTCCCCTTGGTTTTTCCAAGAGAAATTCGGGTGATTTCTCCAACTAGAATTATAGTGATTGCCATAAGGATTGTTCCCTTGATTAACAAAAGCTGCATTGACTTATTCATGATGCTCACTTTGCACATGTCCATGAGGACAATTGGAAGTAGAATGTAAAATACTTGAACAAGTCATATATGATTCATTGGATGCATGATGGGAATGGTTAGGGATGGAAGATACTTGATTTGCCGAGTTTTGGTTAATCAAGAATTGATCAAACCTTTGAGATAAGGATTTCATCTCGACGGCTATTTCATTGGAATGGTTAACTTGATGTAAGCTAACACTCTTCCTTCCACTTGAATTCCTACAATTTTTAAAAGATAAAGTTTGATGCAAAGAATTTTCACTCATGCTCTCATAAAGACGCCACACGTCATCCTCATGCCTATTAATGTATGAGCCACCCATGGAAGCATCAACCATGCCCTTGTAATTATCGGATAAACTCTCAAAGAAATATTGAACTAATTACCATTTGGGCATGTCATGATGTGGACACTTCCTAAGCAATTCATTGAATCTTTCCCATGCCTCATGGAACGTTTCCCCATCCTCGTGTGAAAATTCTCGAATTGAGGTTCTCATGGCATTGGTTTTAGAAACTGGATAGTATTTCTTCAAGAACTCTTGTTGCATTTCTGCCCAAGAAGTTATTTAAAAAGGCCTAAGATTGTTAAACCAATATTTTGCCTTGTCTTTAAGGGTGAATGGAAAAATTTTAAGCCTTAAGACCTCTTCCGGCATGTCCGTGTATCTCACGGTGGAACATACTTTAAGAAACTCATCTAAATGCTTGTAAGGTTCTTCACTTGGAAGTCCATGATAGTTGAATGGTTTGTGGTTTGATTTCATAATGGTGTGCTCTAAATGGTGGCAATTGAATGCATGTGGGTGCATTATATTCATTAGCCATATAGTGATCTCTTAAAGCATGGGGAGGGTTAACAATTGGAGGTGCAACATGGGCACCTTGATTGCCTTGAACTATGGGAGGTTGTGGAGCAAACATTGGCCTAGACATTCTCAATGGAACTTGGCCTTGTTGTTGTGGTGGGTGAATGAATGGCCTCGGCATGCCTACTGGTACTTGCATGTTATCATGATGCACATTGGGGTGGAGGATACCTTGTTGGTCTATGTGACCAAGGTCCTCCACATGGTCTTCATTATGTCTTTCCATTGATAGAATGGATTGACTAGATCTACCTTTTCCTCTAGGGTTTTGAACAACGGATTCAAGATGAAAATTAAGAGGGACAAGAGTAGGTTTCAATGATCTACGATCTTGCAAACACAAGCAAAACATAAACAAGTAACAAACAATCAACAATCACTTCACCTTCGCAACAAATCAATTAACAAACTTCCTTCACATACAATGATCCCATACTCCCATGCTATCAACAATATGCAAAGAATAATAAAATTGCCTCCACTTGGGCTCACGATTTATATAAGAATTGAAATACAAGTCTCCACGGCCGACAATTTAACTAGAGATTGAGTTAAGAAAGAGCTCACAAAGGGTCCTTTAGCACTTCAATTCAATTTTCAATTTTAGCCTTGCAAATTTTTTAGATTTTAGCTTTTTCCTTGCTTTTGCTTAGTTCCTTGCTTAAAATGCTCCTTTGCTCACCTTCTAGCTCTGTGCACCTAGTCAAACAAGAACCAACACAATAAGTAACCAAAATGAAAATGAAAATGAAAATAAAGTAAAGACACGATCAAAAGAATACTAATTCCTAATTGATTCCACAAATATGACGCTGCCTTCAATCAATCCCCGATAACGGCACCAAAAACTTGGTGTGCTATGTTGCGTGCACCCCAAAGCTTAGCAAAAGATGTTGGACTAAGATGAGTGTGGCCAAGTTTTACATTTATAATTTGCTACTACTACCTTTCACTAAAAATATAATTAGGGTGAGCAGGGATCGTCCCAAGGGATTGGTGGGTCGTATTAGGTTGTGGAATCGAGATTAGGGTTAGTAGGTCGAATGATCAAAAGATTGGTTGGTGATTGAATTATACTAAGATACAATTTAAACTAAAGTAAATAATTAAATGCAATAGAGAGGAAATAAGAGAGAGAGATCTTGGGGTTTAGAGATCACCACTAAGCATAGCTTTTGTACACCATTAATGAATGATTAATAAGGGGGAAAACATGTATTGCAACAATAGTGTGTGTTTGTGGTTGTTTCAACAAGCATGAATGACTAATTAAGTATATATTGTTTAAGCAACATGGTGGATAGCACAATATATCAAACTAAGCCATTAATCCTTTCTTTAAGCTCACAATCCAAACACATCACAAGGTTAGAGACATATGCTACTTGTTTTCGTAAGTATGGAACATCGAACAACAAGCATGGATTGTCCTCCCATTTAACATCTAAACTACAACTACACTACAATTAAGCTAAGACATGAAATTAAACTCATTAAACTAAGGGAGAGGCACAATCCATCAAGAAATGAGTATGAACCATCAAATAAACCACAAGAGCATTCTATTAAGTACTATGTCTTGACAATCTCTAGATTTGTAGCATCAATACACATAGATATGCATCAATAACATAAAATCTAGAGACAAACATATGAACATCTATTCTAGCATACATAGACATATGGATAGAATGAAATGATCAATTGGAAGCATTAAATCACACAAATCATTGAATAAACAAGATCTATGTATATAAAAATGTCAAAACATATATCACAATACAAATTCCTTCAAAAATACATAAATCAAGATGTAGAAAGCATGCTTAGGGCTAACTCTAGCCCCAAGAGGATGTCTAGCCACTCATGGATGGTGTCCTCCAACCCTCAAGGGCTAACTTTATGGTAGAAATTGCTCATCTTCTTAGTTGATGGAAGAACTCCAAGCTTGTGTCTCTAGCCTCCTCTTTTCTTTTCTTCCTCACTAAGAATACGATATGTCAATTGTGTCCAAAGTCTCTCTAGTATATGTATGTATGTATGTATATATGCTCTTAAGAATGGCTCATATTCCTTATATAGGTAGGTTAAAATGTCACTCCCAATGACCTGGGCTCGTACACCAATATTCCTCCCAATGATTGGATATGAGACAACTTTTAATGAGCTGGAAATTAATTTTTCTTGCACTTGGGGAAGTTCGATCGATCGAACATTCTCTGAGATCGATCGAACATGGCTGAGATCTATCGAACTTAAGCTGGATCGATCCTCTATGGTGGCGCCTATAAAGACAAATATGAGATATTTTGGTATTTTTGGGAAAGAGACAAAAATGGTAGGTGTGGTGGTACAACTGGATAAGATGAAATCTTTTCGATCGATCGGAAGAAAGTTGGATCGATCAAACTTTGTGGGATCTTTGGATAAGGACAAAAGAGCTTGGATCCATCTTGAAATGTCTAGATCGATGAACTTTCGTTCGATCGAATATTTCCTGAGATCAATCGAATTTGCTGAACTTTCACCACTTGCTTTATTTTGCTCCCACTTTGCTACTTTCTTTGATTCATCTCAAGATTGCTTCAATTATGCTCTTATTTAGCTGAGTTAACTTATTTTGGGGATAAGTACCTGAAAATGGAAATAATACAAAATCAATCTAAAGCAGGAAAATAAGATAGATAAATGTTCTAGAATACCTAAGTTTAAGGGGTTTACATGCGCATTTTTCAGCGCTCATTAGAAACATTTTGAGACAAGAATTAGCTAGGCAGAAGAAATGCTATTTTTATTCTTTGTTGCTATTTGTTATAACCTAGTTTTATATTTGTTACTTTATGTGTGTTTAAATGCATACATCATTTGTATATTATGTAGTTTATGCCTATTATGTTACCATGTTTGGACTATTTCCTCTCCTTTTTCCTAATAAAGTATTGTTTTGACATTTTTTTTTATTTATAATTATTCACATTTGTTTTCCTCCCTAAACTCCATTCTAATTTTTTATTTTTATTTTTTATTTTTTGGTATTTGCTGGCTAATAAAAAATCTGAAATAAAAATTTGATCAATTATACGTTTAGGCATAGAGAAAAAATCTGGACTGAATAATCTTGTTATGTCAAATGCCAAACAATAATTGACAGGAAAGATAATGATAGAGAGTGCAAGAGAACAGAGTAATAGATATAGTGAATATTTTGATCTTCGGATTTGAACCAAGCGATTTATCAACCTTGAGCATGTATAAAGCTAGTTATTAGCATTACTACACTCGAATGATGTTATTATGTATACATAAGCAAACACTAGCTAATTATACTAACGAGCCAATAGCTTGTAGATAGCATCAGAAGCAAAGTAATAGCTTGAATACATACACTCCTCAATAAAATTGAACCATCTTCTTCGCCAATAGGGATTGATACCCAGAACAGAAGCCAGAGCCAATAAGAACATGACGTATGACACGTAAAAAGTAACATAAAAAGCCTCTGGATCGATTTCATACCATTTTGCCTCACTTTCTTCTGAAATTGTTGTTGGTGTGTTTGGAGACTGAACAATGGTGGTACAATTTTTCTCTAATTGTGGTCCACAGAGATAAGGATTTCCCTCGTAGCTGCTTCCATCAAATGTCGAAAATTGGGCCTTCATGTCAGGAGTTTTACCCGATAAGTTATTGTGAGCTACAGAAAAGACTTCCAGAAAATTCAGGTCAATCAGCTCTATAGGGATCACTCCACTCAACTTATTGTAAGAAAGGTCCAAGCTCTCTATTTGAGTCAGTCTAGAGAATGCTCTGGGGATGGATCCTTTTAACTGATTGTGAGACAAGTTCAATGCAAGAATCTCAACTAGCTCTCCTAGCTCGTGTGGGATTTCACCTGTTAGGTTGTTGCATGACAAATCCAATCCTGACATAAAGTTTATGATATCACCTTTGTAAGAACTAGCCCTTCTTTTTGTAACGAACTCAGCTTCAGCTTTCTTATCTACTTCAAATGTATTCACATAATATCTGATATCTAAAAGCACGAGGTCATTTGGCCCTATCTTTCCAAAAAAGATATTACTGATGCAACGAGGAATTGACCCAGAAAAAGAGTTGTTAGAAAGATCCATAAGGGATATCTTATTCAACTTACACAACTGATTTGGAATTAAACCATTCAAATGGTTTCCCCTTAGCAGAAGTACTCTTAAGTCGGAGAGTGCGCTAATCCCATTCGGAATTTTGCCGGATAAGCTGTTATCTCTAACATCCAATATCAACAGAGATGATGAATTGACAAAAGCATTTGGTATTGGTCCCGTGAATTTATTTGCCTGCAAATAAATATATGTCAGTTGGTTTGAGCAAGAAGGTAATGATCCAGAAAGAGAGTTATGAGAGACATCCAAGAGCTCGCCTATAGGTAGTTCACATGGTAACCGGCCTTTGAAATAATTATTTCGCATGATGACGGCATGCAAATCTGTCATATTACTTATCCAGCTGGTAATCACACCGGAGAAGTAATTGTTGCTAATGTCCAACGCAAACAGCTCAGAGCTTTCGGAAATTGTGTTGGACAAAATTCCCGAGAACTGGTTGTCATCTAAATACAGAGCCTGTAAGTTGGTCAAGTTGAAGTGTGTTGAGAGTATTTGACCATGAAATTTATTTCTGGATAATTTCAAAATATTCAAATTGATGCAACCTGAAACCAATTCCTTTGGTACTTCTCCAGAGAACATGTTAACAGACAAATCCAGTATCTTTAAGGCACTCATGTTGCAAAGTGATGACGGAAGAATACCTTTGAAAGAATTTGTGGATAAATTTAGATACGAAATGTATGGAAGACTCATTGAAATGTTTTCTTGAAGTTGGCCATGAAAGTAATTGGCAGAAACATCCATCAAAATAATACTCGTGTTAAGGCGTGGTGACAGATCAAATTGACCCGTGAAAGAGTTGTTCCTCAGATTCAGAACTTCAAGTCTTGGATTGTTATTAAGCAAGCAGTAAGGGAAAACTCCTGTCAAGTTGTTGTGGGAGAGATCTATTTCTCTTAATTTGTATTGGTGAAAGAGAAACTTGGGTATTTCACCGGTGAGGTTACAGTTTGATAACCCTAGGACTTTCAACTGAAACTTGGGAGCCCTAGAATTTGAGTAATCATCAGTTTCCACCTCCAATTTGTTGTCGCCTAATTCAAGAACCTCAAGCTTGGAATGATTGGCTAACGAGCTGAATGAGAATAAACCCTGAAAATGATTATTCTGAAGATTGATGTGTGTCAGAGATGTGAGGTTTGATATGATAATAGAAACGTCTCCTGTGAATTGATTCGCAGAGAGATCTAACACTCTAAGGGATGTTAAATTGCTCAAACATGGAGGAAGGATTCCTTCGCAGGTGTTTACACTAAGATCCAACTCTTGAAGGTTCCTTAGTTCACACAAACCTGCAAAAGAAGAAAAAGATGATAAGCGCAGTGATTTGACAAATGAGGCGATCGGGAAAAGAAGAGTTGACCAATAAACAGAGAAGGCGTCACTATAATAGCAAAGAACAAATGCTATGTTTTCAGTTTTACCTTGAATAGACAAAGCTAATATTTGGTAAGTTATTATGAAATCCAACCAATTTGTCATATTTTTTCCCTCTTCTAACCAAATGGTGCAGAAATATTGTTGGAAAGGTCCCTTCCATTAAATTGTGCTTCAGTGATAGAAATTTAAGAGTAGGGAGATTAGCCAACCACTTTAGAATGTCGTTGTTGAAATAGTAATTGTAGCTTAAATCCAGGTGCTCTAGCTTAGAATGTTGTCGTTGAAATAATAGTCAAAGTGTTGTTGAGATAATTAAAGCTCAGATCTAGAACCTCCAAGTTCTTGAATGAAATCAAATCTACCAAATGAAGAATGTACATAATTTAGTGATGTTTATGGTAGAATAAGCAAATATAAAAAATTATCCTTACAACTTATAAGTACTATAAGGAAGATATTTGTGTAGTTGGATTGGTAGCGTGCCATTCAGTCCGTATAGAATGCATACAAAACCCAAAACCTAATATTTGAAATCCAACCAATATTTATCAGAATGAAATGGTATTCAACTACACATACCATTGTTGGAAAGGGGGCCTTCCATTAAATTTTCGTGCAGTGATAGAAATTTAAGAACTGGGAGATTAGCCACGGACTTTAGAATGTCATCGTTGAAATCGTTGTAGCTTAGATCCAGGTGCTCTAACTTGCTTAACTTTGACCAAGTTTGGTAATCTGGGTACGTAGAGAAGAAGACATCATTAAAAATGATATGATTTAAGCATATCTACCATCATATAACTATATATATATTAAAAGAAAAGAAAAAAGAAGAAATCACACGTATGTGACTTAAATTCTACATCCATCGTTGAAGATGGTCCAGAGATTTAATTATTACCTCTGCAAACCTCAACCTAACAAGCTATCTTTCTTTCTAAAGCTCTTATATACTTCAGTTCAAAATACAAGAGAAATAATCATATTAATTACAAACTAAAACAAAATCGAGACGTACAAACGGAGGTTTTAGATTCAAAATTCAAGACACTATTATGAACATAGAAAAGCTTTAGCTATAGTTATTGTGGTGGTGGTAGTAATCTTCTCTAGATTGCCATTCAGTCCGTATAGAATGCATACATAACCCAAAACCTAATATTTGGTAAGTTATTATGAAATCCAACCAATATTTATCAAAAAGAAATGGTATTCAACTACACATACCATTGTTGTAAAGGATATAATAGCAAAGAAATTGTATTCAACTACACATATGAATAAACACAGAAGATGTACGTCACTATAATAGCAAAGAACAAATGCTATGTTTCAGTTTTACCTTGAATAGACAAAGTGCTGTAGAGATTGTTAAAGCTCAGATCTAGAACCTCCAAGTTCTTGAATGAAATCAAATCTACCAAGTAAAGAGTGTAGATAATTTAGTGATGTTTATGGTAGAATAAGCAAATATAAAAAACTATCCTTACAACTTATAAGTACTAGAAGGAAGATATTTGTTTAGTTGGACTGGTAGCGTGCCATTCAGTCCGTATAGAATGCATACATAACCCAAAACCTAATATTATGATCGAAATCCAACCAATTTATCAGAAACAAAATTTCAGTACACATACCATTGTTGGAAAGGGGCCCTTCCATTCCATTGCCCTGCAGTGATAGAAATTTAAGAACTGGGAGATTAGCCAACGACTTTAGAATGTCTTTGTTGAAAAGGTTGGCGCTTATATCCAGGTGTTCTAGCTTGCTCAACTTTGATAAAGTTTGGTAATCTGGGTACGTAGAGAAGAGAAGAGGACATGATTAAAAATAGTACTATGATTTAAGCTTCTCTACCATCATATATATATATATATATATATATATATATATATATATATATATATATATATATCACAAGTATGTGACTTAAATTCTACATCCATTGTTGAAGATGGTCTAAATATTTAATTATTACCTCTACATTTGCAAACCTCAACCTAACAAGCTATCTTTATTTCTAAACCTCTTATATACTTCTTCAGTTCAAAATACAAGAGAAATAATCATATTAATTACAAATTAAAACAAAATCCAGATGTACAAACATAGAACAACTTTAGCTATAGTGATGGTGGTGGTGGTAATAATCTTCACCAGATTCCTACATATTGAATTGCAAAAGAATCACAAATTTTAAAATTACCTTGCACTAGAAGGGAGGCATTTAATCTGTTGCCACTTAGATCCAACTTCTCTAATTTCCTCAGAGCTGATAGCTCTGTGTAGTTAAATTAATTGAAACAGAAAGAGTAAAGAAAATTGAATAGGAATAATATATATATATATAAATAAAAACTATATAAAAAGTAGGTATTGGATGTCAGATGCTCAGTATAAATGATGTGAACAAAACATGCCTTTGACAGGAAGAGGTCCTTCCAACATATTCCAACTGACATTTAAAGTTTTTAGTGATGTGAGTGAACCCAAAGGTTCTAGGACACTGTTATTGAAGCCATTAAAAGCAAGGTTTAAGATCTCCAATTTCAACAACCTTTCAAAACCTGCAAATTAAGAGAGAATAATTACTTCAAATGAAATAAATAAATAAATCTCCATGTTGTTGTATAATACAAGTACTACGTAATCACCTACTGTAGCAGCGATGTTTGGAAACCTATGTGAAATAACAAAAAAAAACTGAAAACCTTACAGATTATTTGAAACCATGGAAGGCTTTGATTTATGATTTAGAAGAAAAGTGGAAAAATAATTACATAGCGAAGGATTGACATTGTACCAAAATTTAGATTACCTTCAATCTCAAGGGAGCAATATAAATAAATTTCTAATATGATTAATTTATAATTAAATTTTACAATTTATAATAAAATTTATTATACTTAGTTTAAACTTTTTTTACCATAAAAAATACCTTCTTTTTTATCCAATATTTATGAAAATTTAATAAATTACTTAAATAAAAAATTCCTTTTTGTTTATGCAATATATTCATGAAAATAATAAGAAATTACTTAAAATTGTTTTAAATTTTTTTAATTAAGATTTTTATTTAAAAAATTAATATAAAAAATTAAAAGTAAATTCATGCAAATTTAATAGAGAATGAGTATATGTCATCAATATAGTATTAGTTTTTTTTCATATTATAATTTATCTCAGTAAGAAAAATAAATCAAGTGTAATTAAAAAGGAAATAACATTACCATCATTTAAAGAAAAACAGTCTAGCCAACGAAATGTTTAGATTACCTTCATTTTCAACAGAGTCATAAAAATAATTCGAAGATAAATCAAGATTCAACAGCTCTTCAAAAGGTTTAAACAAGGAGACATTTAGATGATAAATAGATAAGTTCTGGTATGGCCATAGATCATCATCAGAAAAGTAGTGGTATAGCCCTAGATCATCGAGAGTGAGCACCACCACTCTGCCTGTGGTGTGGTTGCAAGCAACTCTCTCCCAGTCACAGCAATCACTTTCTCTCTCATCAAGCCATGAAGGTAGAACCAAATTATGGCTTATCTCATCAATGAAAGAGGCCTTGAGTTGAAGCAAGCCAATCCTCTCCTCTTCAACACAACCTTCCACTCCATGGTTTTGGTTTTGAACCAATAAAACTATGAAAACCCATAACAACAACCACAACAATTTCACAAGTACCCCCTCCATTGATGTGTATAATGATCAATAGAACATCAATCCACATTTATAAGTCCTTTCGCAACACATAGACACGTGGAAAAAGGTGCAAACACAGGAAAGAAAGGTAGGGGAATGAACAGAAAGCAATGACAAGTCTTTTCCTTCCGTGTAAATAATGGTTAATAGAAACACTACTTCGGTGGGTGGACCAAAATATTCTAATTGGGGCTCCCAATTTATATTTAATAATTTTGAAAATTTTATAAAGCAATTATAAAATCATTTTGTTTATAATTATAAACCTTAATTAAATCTAAAAATGGGAAAAATGCAATCAAAGTAAATAGACGAAAACTCATGTGACAAAAATAATATAGAGAAGAGAAAACGGTAAATTGCAAGTAAAAAGAAAAGTGGAAAAAAACGTTTTTATCAAAATTTCTTTAGCAGTTGTTTAAATTATTCCAACAAATAATTTTTGATAAAATGTTTTGAGTACTCTGATTTTACTTCGGGAAAGATATAAAGTTATAACCTTAACTAAAGATTAAGAAAAAAATTATAATTTAACTAAATAAAATTTCGGTAAGTTTTAAAAGTAGTTGTAGATACTGCCACATAGCAACAGGCAATTAAAAGTATGGTAGAGTGACCTCCCATGCGATTTAGCCTATTTACACATGACATTAACCTTATGTATTTTGTTGCACCGTACCCTCTATGATTTGCTCCATTACGACGAATACTCCCTTCTGCCCAAAATTTTACAATGATCAAAATATTCATCAACAAGTAAAAAAACATTACTACCCTTATATTGCCATAAAATTATAAAAATATATATAAATATATTGCCATAAAATAATAAAAAAATATAAATAAATAAAGTCTTATTTTCATGAACAAAAATACATCTCTCTCTGTCCACTGTATATACAACATATATCATTTATATTTGTAGAATCTAAAAATATAATTTGAATCTACCCTCAATTCAACCTACCAAGAAATACGGATCAATAAGTCAAATTTGTTATATATCATGTGTGGGGTCCACCTCCAATATATTATGTTATGCATAATGTGAAAGCATATGTTTGTGGACAACATTACAATTAACCATTGAGTTTAGTGGTGATAGTGGGATGAGTTGGAATAACACGAGTGACTTGGTGGAAGAAGCATTGTAATTGAGACTATAATTAAATATGTGTTGTGTATTGCATTGTTCTCTCTCCCTCTCTAGATTGTTCTCTCTATATATTATTGTGTATGTAATCTAGTGTTTTAGATTTATGCTATATTTACAATTCGTCATTAGTACAAGTCTCTAATCAACTGAGACTTGAACGAGAAGTTCTCATTCCCTCTCTCTATTTAAGGATTCTTTCGACTCGGTGGGTTTTTGGCCCGCCCCCGTCCCTAATGGAGTGGATTTAGTGGCCTTTAAATGGGTTTGGGACGCGTATGGCAAAACAATTGAAAATTCGAAGCGGGTTTGGGGTGGGGGCGGGGGCAGATTTAGTGATGACCCCGCCCCAATTATATATATATATATCTTTTAATTTTTTTTACATAGAAAATATATATTTTATATTATTAAGACTGTTGTTACTTTACTACAAGTGTCTGTTAATGTATTAATATTCACTACTTAGTAATTTAAAAGTTGGGCCAACTTATTTATCAGTCTAATTTGAACACATTGGGCTAGGTTTTTTTTTTTTTTTTTTTTTTTTTTTTTTTTTTTTTTAACATAATAAAAACGGCCCACCCTCGCCGCACGTCGCAATTAAACGGAGTATATGGGGCAGAGTCATTATTTTGTCTACCTAAGTAGGGGTGGAGATGGTATAATAATTACAAACTCGTTCCAGAATAGGGATGGAGTTAGTATAATAAATTTTCTAACGGGGCGGAGTAGGATTTAGCAAACCCGCCACAACTCCACCCCGTTGCCATCCCTATCTCTTTCTCAACTCATATATCTCATTTGTAATATTGGTTTTGATAGATTGTTGAGTTTGTTTGATTTGCTGAAGAAAATTTATTTCTCACTGAAGGGTAAGAGTTTTTTATATTAATACTACGTATTATTATTTAAAGTAAGATATGTACATATTTATAAAGTCAGTACTACCACTCTTATTGTTTATTATTTATTTCATATCGGTTCTACCACCTTTATTGTTTATTGTTTATTGACCTTACGATATAATAGATATAAATAAACTATATGTGGCTTTTACATATTAAAATAACCGGATGGTTTGTTTTCTTATTATTCTTATTATGACCAAATTTTAATTGTACACTTATTTCTAATAAATCCTTGATCAGATCCATTTTATGGACATTGAGATTACGACTAAATAAAAAATTTAGCGTCCTTGGGAATTGCATCAAGTTTATGATAACTTGAAAATTGAATATCTTACGGTGTAAGACCCACTTATTTTGTGGTAAAAATTCACGGAGTCTTGTGATCCTTCTAAAAAGTTCAGTGTGAATGGATGCAATTGTGGTTGCAGGATTATAAAATTATTGATGAATATAATTCGACAATGTTTATAATCAGTTATGTTGAGATAACATGGAGAAATAATTACTAATGAGTATATGTTGAAAAAAATATCATCCACTTATCACGTCGAATGCGTAAATATATGAAATATTTGATGTGGAGAAAAAAATTACTAAAGGGCATATATTTACAAAGAAATACTCCACTAATCACGTTGAATACGTGAATTTATGAAAAACTGATATAATGACAAAGTAAAATGATGAGCTTTTATTATAATATTATCAGTCCCACTAGATAGAAAATATTTCTAAAGCGAAATTTGCTCATTTCACAACCATGGATATGGTAGTGGGTATAGTCATAGTATAATTAACTACCAACATCATAGAAGTTATCATTATAATTTCATATTGTATTCCTAAAAGTGGGACCCAAGTAATATGAAACAAGCAAAGTGAGAGAATTTGCCTCAACCCATATGATACATGTTGCTTGTTATCAATGTGAGATCGCATGTTGTTTGTTATCAATGTGAAATTGATCAGTGTGAAATTGATTATGGAGTGGTGTAGCCCATTACCTAGAGATGTGGACTTTAGTAAATTCGTATCTACCGTGATGTCCACCTCTTGATTAATATATAAACATGTGCATGTAGTTTAATATAAAAGGGGTATGTAATTACATGACTTCTCACCAACTAATTACTGTCACTATAACATCTTCCTTACCTTACTGCTTCTCGTACTTCGCAATCGTATATAACAATTTCACAGTTTTTAAATGTTCAGAGTTGCTATTACTTGTATATTAGTTAATTGATTGTTTTCATTTACTTTTTGTTTAATATACGTGTCATGATTTTTTTATTATTTTAAATTACATAACATGATTAAATGTTAGAATTTTGTGATATAAGTCAGCATGGTTTTATTGTTGAATATGGAATAAATCATCATGGTTTTATAGTTGAATACATAATTGATAGTGAAATTACAGCTTACTATGATTGGATACTCATGTGATTGTAGGATTTTAATCTTCTATTTACACATATTTCAGTCTTATGCGACGAAAAGCAAAATTAATATTGATAACGTTTTACTCCAGCAGTAGCAATATCAATTATGCTCCATTTTATGCATCTTGATATAATTGAGTGGACACCAAGGGGGAGTATTGTATATCATATATGGTGTCCACTTTGTCACTATGTTAGTGGTTATATAAGCCTTCCTTGAAGAGAATGTATCCTCCTTCCTTTATATGGATAGTCATTATTTATCCATGTTTCTTAGAAGAATCACCACACTGTTTTAACAGAAGTAGAATGCAAAACTGAAGCGAAAAAGGAAAGATATTTCAGGATACCATTGGCATAATTAATCAATATTATGGTATTTATCCAGATGATATATGTTCGAGTTTTAATTATGTACGCCGTTACAAATATCATATTGTGACTACAAATGAAACAGTAGATATTTGAGGATTCCACTGACATAATCAATCAGCATTGTAGTATTTATATATCCAGATGATATCTGTTGAGTTTTAATTATATACGTTGTAACAGATATCATATTGGGACTACAAATGAAAGTAGTACTATCATTTCATTTTATAAGTTTGTATTAGAAAAACTCTATGCTCTCTCTTCTAGGTTATATTAAATGTACAACTATTAAGAGCAGTTGGAATACATGTAGTCACGTACCATAAATGCTATGACGCACTAGAAGTGCTATGACCCAAAGAGATTTAGCATGATTATTTAGTCATCTTGGGTCGATAATGATAATGATAATGATAATGATAATGATAATGATGCATCAAACCATTAAATATATTACAAGGGAAACCAAATTTTGTCAAGGAATTATTGCATTGTTTGCTAAAAAGGTAAAATGATTATCAGATTATCATCCTCAAAGGTAGTCGTTGAATCTTCAATATTTTACAATGCATTTAAGGGGATAAATGTGGACCAGTCCTAGCATTCTTAGATTGCACTAGACCAACTACTTGTCACCGTCTTTGACCACTACAACTTGCACCATCAAATACTTGGTTAGTTAACAAACCAAATATTTCTCACTTAGGAGTTTTTGGTTGCGTTGTGCACACTCCTATTGCACCACCACAACACATCAAAATGAGTCATCAACGACGATTTGAGGTTAATGTAGGTTTTTCATCTATTATTAGATATATTAAACCTACGACGGGTATACACAATTAGCAGACACATTCATTGATACAAAGAAAGTGGTAAAATCTCATATACTTGAAGGATAATTCATCAGTACTGCAGTTGATGCATCTAAGACAGGCAAAAAGCGTGGTAGGCCTATTGATTCAAAAAGATATTATTCCCGGGAATATGGAAGGATAAGAGAAAAGAAATAAAAATGTTGGCGCTCCTAAAAATGCCATACTTGCAAATGGAGCAATAACAATGATCAATCAATCTAAATGTAAGTGGCCCTAAAAGAGGCAC